GTAACCTTGGGTAAGTCCCTTAAACGCTGATTCCTTATTTGTAAAATTGTGTAACATCCACCTAGCCTATCCCAAAGATCAAACACACATGTTGGTACAAGGAGCTGTAAGGAGCTGTTACACTTTTCACTGTCTGTACTTAATAAATTTTTGTTCTCAGAAAGAAGAGGGAAACTGGCATGTTGAGAAAGGATAGATTTAGAATCAGGTAGGCTCAGACTCCAGTTCTTAAACCGTCTGTTAGATTATGTCTGTGAGCCTCACGTTCCTCATCTGCAGGCTCACGTTTCCAGGAATTAGACGAGTGACACGTCACCTGCACAGGCACGACCCCTGGGCTGGGAGCCGCAGGAGCAAGAATGCCCTCCAACCCGCTTGCCTCCTCTCCAGCACTGCTTGGTGCACTATGGGCGCAGTAAATGCGCAGTCTGAGTACGGGTTAACGTTGGTTAGACCTTACGTCTTAATTGCAGCTGCCAGATCAGAATATTATCTCAGGCTAGATGGCAGCTAAGAAATTATACTGTGAAATTCATATACTAGGGACATTTGTGCTCAATTTTTTTCTTGGTGCCAATGAGTAATTACATTAAGCTGAGAAGATTTTAATTCAAATAAGTTATAGCTGAACGTTAGTAAAGTAAATCTATAAATAACAAGCAGTTCTGTGGTAATTTTTTTAGACAGTTTATAATTCAGGGACTTGAAAGTTCATCAAGCGCCATTCTCTTGTTTTACCTCTCAGGAATCTAAAACCCACAGAAGCAGTGACTTGCCAGAAGTCACACTGTTCACTGAGGCTCTTTTAGGAGAGGAACCCCTGAGTTTATGTCCCCTGCCTTCCTTTGCTTGGAGCAAAATAAACGTTTTGTATTTGAGAATTATAATAATCTAGAAGAATTGCCATTATTTCCATGCACAAATTTTTTCGAGTTGGAAAAGAACAAATCCTTAGTCTGACAGGGAAAGTTCTCTCTGACGTGTTGATCAGCCTTCGTAGGTGCACAGGAAAAGTGTGGCCTCCAGCCCCATGGGCCCTCGCGGAGGCTACGCTTGGATTTACCTGTAATTTTCATGCTGACTGCTGTACCTGGAAGGAACTAATTATATATAGAAATAAACCACGTCGCAAGTTATAAGGAAATAAGGACAACTGAGCTAATTTGGCGCTTTTCTTGCCAAAGGTGTCCATTATAAGCTTTGTCTGTGGGATACTGTCGTCTAAGGAAGGGTTCTGACTCAGCGGAAATGAGGTAGGACTTTTCTGGTTCTGGGTACAGCTTTTATTTATTTATCTGCAACAAGTCGATGTATTTGATCTAATGTTATAGCTAAAAATTGCAAACAAGAAACCCCTGCTTTGCTGGTGCCTCTTGGCTTTTCTCCTCCCAGCGCTGCTGGTGCCATCAACCCCTAGGTAGCAGGCCCATTCTCATTTCTGAAAACACAGTGGTGTTAGAGCTGCTTTCCCTGTCAGTCTCACCCTTGTGTCAGCAGAACCCCAAGAAAGCACACGGCATGCTCAAATTGGATAACTCGGTGCACAGATCCTCGTAGTAAAGATGTTGGACTTGTGCAGCTGAACCACTGGTGACATGGTTACCTGGAGCAGCAGCCTCAGGAGAAGGGAGAGGTCTAGAGCCAGGAGCATCTTGTAGTGCAGCCTGCCTGGAGAGAATGGCCTGTCGAGGGACACAGCCAGTTCACGGTGACGCTGGGTGGGAGAGAGAGACCAGGAGATGAACATCTTGATCCCACTGCTGCCTCCTGTGCTCCTGATGGGGCTCCCCACTGGCATGACTCCCAGAAACCAGAGGGCAGAGTGGAGGGGAGGGGACAGTGAGCCTAGAGGCGCAAACAGATGACACCTGGCATGCTCAGCTACGTCTTAAGGTCTTCAAGGAGTCTCTGCTCACCTTCGCGGACAAGAAGAGCTTGAGCCTCTGTTAGGATTCGCTCGTTGACTCTACCTGGCGTGCCGTTGCGTTGTTTAAAGCTGTTAATTCGCTTTAACTTCTAAATCTGTTCTTCATAACTCATTTTTAAACTGTGGCTGTTGTAAATTTTAAATACGTTCCATTCTTGTTGCTACTGTGCTTAGTGCCTTGCACCTAAGAATTTTTTTCCGCAATTTTTACTTTAGAAAATTAAGCATTTCTACAAGTAGAAAGAATTACATAATAAACTCCTAGGTTCTCATCACTCCAGTTACAAATTTTGCCGATCTCACTTCACCCTCTTTCTCTGCCTGCACCTCCCACCATGGTAATTTTTTTAAGTTGCATTGACATTGATCTCTTGGAGGCCATGCATAGTATGCAAATTGTCATAATCCATACGGCCCTTCTTATTGAGCCACTGGGATTGTATTGGTACTCCTTGTTTTCATCTCTTTTATTCAAATAAATTTTACTTCATTTGATGCTTAGTCCTATAAATATGCACGCTGGTGGCCTAAGTGAAATTTTTGTGAAAATCTGTGAAGACTTGGCCTTAAGGTCAACTTAACTCCGTGTCTGTGTACCCTTTATTATGAGCTGTTTATCCAGTCCGTTCAACAGAGACTTTTGTTTTACTAAGACTTGTGCGTAGATTTTGGCCATCTGTACCCAGACTGGTTTTTCAGGTGTTTCTTGGCGGATTTTGTGTTGTCATGTCTGTTTCGTCGCTGCCATTTCTGTGCGTTTCCCCAGATGCTCGGGAATGGTCGTCTGCTGCAGACCGCCGGCCCTGCCGCGTGGCGTCGGCCTCCCTCCTGCCATGGGGCGGACCTCTCCTCGCCCTTGCGTTCTTTTTAAGGTGCACACCGAACTATCCACAGGGAGCTTTTGACCCCGCTCTGCCTCCCCGCTGTCTTGTCATGAAGCGAGAAGGACAGCATGAGCCACCTGGTGATCTTGTGGGTGTACAACGTCTGATGAGCAAACAGTCGCTTGTCAGTCTCCAGGTAGCGGTCTGCCTACATGGAGGTCCCCTTTCGTGGGGAAGGACGCCGTAGAAGTGCAGCCGAGCAGCGGGTCTCGTGCAGGAAAGTGAATGCTCACGGCTGTCTGCAGTTACCTGTTATTTGCCTGATTTGTGTTTGACAGCCGACCTGGTCAGAACAAAGCTTTAAGTGGAGGGCCCTGTAGGCAAAGTAGTAGTCGCTTGGTCTGGTCTGACAGTGCGGAGTTCTCAAGCAATAAGGTGACCTAGAAAGTCAGAATGGGTTTTTCTAAAGAAACATTGTTCTCCACCAGTCCCCTGTTCCGTGACACCAGGTCGCGTGCAGAGATTTAAAAGCGCCTGTAATTCCAGCTTAAGAAGGATGGAAAGAGACTGCAGGCCGGCCCGACGCAATCTGCAACTCGCGTCGTGCGAATGCGACACGCTTACAGTAGAAACCGTCCTGTGAATCTCCAGGTTGACCCTTCCCCAGCCCAGCCCTGTGCGGGGTGATGGTTTCGTGGTTCTGGACAGCGGTGGCCACGCGATCATGAGGGTGACGACCCATACTCAACAGGGTACTGGGAAGAGGGTTTTCAACATTGCCTAACTGACGGGTTTATCTGGATGTCCCCATAGTACGTCGAGGGGCATCTGTCATCTGTTAGGAGGTATTACCCTCAGGTGGAATGGGGAGAGAATGGCTAAAGGGCCACTGGCCTTGTAGCTGGGCTGCTTGTCCTGCATGGTCCCCTGCCATGTGTGCGGTCATGTGGAGGAGGGGCCGAGTGGGACTAGAGGAGCGTTCGTGGACCCCAGCAGAGGACGTCAGTGTGCCGGGAAGCGTGGAGACCAGGGGGGGAAGCGGGGCTGGGGGACCGGCGGGAGTGCGGTGCGATGATGGCAGGGCCGCCTAGGGGGCAGGGCGTGTGGACCTGAGTGGGACCGCAGCCTGCGACCGCGCTTTCAGCACAGTGTGGCCTTTGCTCTGCCTCTGGTGCCACGGAAACAGCTGGCGTTTACCAGATGTCCCGAGCGAGAGTCTAAGATGCAGCTCAGATGCCGAAAAGCAGAACTTGCTGCTGGAAGAAAGCAGAAACTTAAAAATGTGACCCAAGTCAACAAGTTAATCTCACTTGAAGCCAAAAGAAATGTAAATAAAACCTCTGCCAGGAAGTAGAATATTTGAGATTTAGGTTGAAAGGTATTACAAGAACGGGGTGTGCGGGGGCG